CCCCTAAACAAGTAAATCAGTGAGCGGCCAAGCATTGAAATTTGATGAAGTCAACACATTCGCACACGCACGCACGCATTGCCATTAGTCTGTGTGTGCGCGTGTGTGTCTGTGTGTGTGGACTTGCAAAGTCTCGGGAAAATCTCTTATTTATAATCACTTAGATCCGACTAGCAAATCGCTTGGAATAGCACAAAGAGCGCCTCAATCTGGGTGCGAAACATACAGTTGCAATACCCTGCATACAGCGTGAGGCTGAGTAGGGTAGTTGGGGGACCAGGCAAGAAATGTACAGTTGAAAAAGAAAGAGATAGAGTACAAATATCAATCAAAAAATACATAAAATATCTCCTTACAGTGTGTTAGAGGAAAAGCTGAAAACTTTATTATATTTTGGCTAGCGTCTTACCTATTAATCTTCAAATTTTATTCCACTCAATTATTTTATTAATTTTATTTCATAGAGCTCAAATTAATTTGAAATTTAAAGCATATATGCGAGTTTAAGACAAAAGCTGCAATAAAACTATATTAAAAAAAAAACTATAAAAAAAAAGCATATGCAATATTTTAATTGTAATAAGAAAAACAATCTCTAAAATATATATCAGGTTATCTATATGTTTCATTGCCATCTCTCACTCTGAGAAATAAATAAATAGACTAATAATTATATTAAAATTGATTGATCGAACCTATACAAATTAAACTTTTTTATTTTCCCCAAATGAATGCCAAGTTTTACAGGATATCGAGTCGCAATATTTGTTCATCTTCTCCCAGTTTTTCTTGGCCTTCAGCAGAATGTTGTTGTGTGCGTGTGCGTGTGTGTGTGTGTTTTCTTTTTCATTTTTTGTTGCTGCTTTTGCCGCGGGCGTGTCCATGGCTGGGCAGAAAATTATATGGCAGTTTAATTTGCGTGCGGCCCGCTTTGTGCCTGGGCGCATTTAATGATGCGTATACGCAACGTTGACCCAGGCGACAGGACAGACGGACGGACAAATGCGGTGCATATCAAATTAATGGAGCTTAAGAGAGCGTACTGAAAAGAAAAATAACAAGACGACGAGAAAAAAAAAATAAGTAGGCGAGGCCAGTGCCAGTTGCTGCTGACTTTGGCACAATAATTAAAAGCGATGCGGGCCCCAAAAAGTATGCAATGTCAGCGTGAAGTGAAACGAGCAAGAAAGAAGCCAAGTGCTGTAACGATAGCAGAGGCAGAGGCAGAGGCAGAGGCAGAGGCTGAGACTGAGGCAGAGACTGAGGCAAAAGCAAAGGCAAATAAATGGCATTAAGCGCTTAAGCGTTGTCTTCCCAAAAATATCTTTGCCACACTTTGCACAACTCAGCTGCAACTTTATGCAATTATGTTAATAACAATGAAGAGCCGCTGCAGCGCTGCCCATCCCCTAGCTAGCTGCGAGGAATGTTGGGCAAACTTTGAAGGCGTCTTTATGGAAGATGCGACAGAAATAAAGAAAAACACGAAGAAGCCGAAGAAGCTGCAGAAGAGAAAAGAAAAGTGTGTGTGCAGCAATTGCAGCGAGGCTGCTGGGTGGCCAGGGTGGCTCCAAGGTGGTTGGCTGAGACTGGCAGGAACTTGGTTTGTTTTAGGTCGCTTACATATAATGGAATAATTGCCAGACAGCAAAGGCATTTGCGTTGCAAACTTTGAGCACATAATTTAATAAGTAAACACTCACACACACACACACACACACATACACGCGAGCATATAAATCTAGGTATATATTCAATTTTTGCGCAAATTTTCACATTTGCGTTGGCCAGGCTTAGTCTTAATTGCCGCCATAAACTTGGGAAGTCCGATAAAACTTGAGCTTGTAATGGAGCAGATAGCTGAGAGGCCTGCAGATGCCTAATAAATTGCAGAAATTGCCCAGAGAGTGGGGCTATCTTGAGTTGGGCTTACATATGCATTACATGTGTAATTTGTGCTGAGTATGTAACGAAATTAGAACTTTTGCTGCAGCAAAAACTTGTGAAAATCTCAAGGAAATGAACTGTTCAGCGATGCAGGGGGTGGTGCAGCGGGCGGGTGGGTGGTTGGCTGGCTGGCTGGCTGAGAGTGGGGGCAGGTTACTCGTTGCAGACAGTTAGCAAGTCGAGTCTATGGCGCAGATTAACTTGTAGCAAAGAACAAACATGAGAGGCCTTCGGGCCGTAGGGCGGGGACTGGCCCAAAATGCAGTTGAAGAAATTGAAAAAGTTTCCTTTTCTTTTTAGCTATCTTCTACTTTTTGTGCTTTATTTTGAATGCAAAGTTCATGCGAGTTGCTTGTCTGACAGTCTACGGTTCTGCAGAAACTCTGACAGTGAGCGAGTGTATATGCGTGTGTGTGTGTAGGAGTGTATGTCGGTGTATGTATGTGTGTGCATTGAAGCATACGCTAGCGCAGCTGCAAAGCAGAGAGTTGTCTAAAAAAAAAGCGCTAAAGTACAAACACAACACACAAGCACACACACACACATACATACACATTACATGCTGTAGTTGCATATGCGCCACGCCCACTGGCAAACATGTGTTGCTCAACGCCCCGTCTTGTAGCTGGCTCTTAAATTACACAAACTTGACTGCTATAAAATTCAAATTAACTCCTGCGCTGGGACGCTGTGTGTGCCTGTGTGTGTGGGTGTGCGCTCGTGAGTGTGTGTGTGCTCTGTTCGCTCTAATATGAAAAATGAAAACAAATCTTAATTAAAAATTATTGTTGACATTTCTTTTGCTTCCCTGCACTTTTCCCCGTTTCATTTTGGCCACTTTTTCGTTTTTCGCTTTTTTGCTCTTCAGCTTTTCGCCTTTCGCTCTTTGCTTTTTGACTGGTGCCACGCGGCGTATGCGTAATTCACATGAGCGAGCAGCAAGACAATTAAAAATATGCTTCCTGCCGCTGTTGCTGCTGCCATTCTCAACAAGTGTTTGTGCAAGTTTGTGGAGATTGTTATTTATAAAGAGATTGCTTAGGTAAATGCAGAAGTTGGCTAAACAAGTTTCGCCGGATTGAGCGTATTTAAAATTTAGATTTGCGACTTTTCTCTTTAAGGGTTTTGAAGTTTGTACTTAGTTCTTTTCTAGTTAATTGGGGAAGTATATTGAAGCAGCTAAAGTTAAGACTCTTGTACCAATGAGCTGTTAATAATTATTAATACAGTTGATCAATATTTGTAATTGAAATTCGTAAAGTGCTGTTTGAACTTAAGAATTACAAAATCTAATGGGAAAAAAATCAACAGTTCGAGAGTTTGTAGGAGAGAGAGAGAGAGAGAGAGAGAGAGAAAGAGAAAGAGAGGGAGATAGAGAGTGAAAGACATAGAGAGAGATACGGAGAGACAGAAAGAGAAGGGGAGATAGATAGGGATGGGAGATAGAGAAAGAGCAAGAAAATGATAGATACAGAAGAACAGATAGTGATTGAGAGCAAAAGAGGTAGAGAAAGAGAAAAGAGAGCAAGGGAAGGAAACTGAGAGAGACAGAGAAAGAGAGAGAGAGTAAAATAGAAAATATCGAGGAAGAGAGCGAAAAATAGAAGAAAGATAATGAGAGAACAAGGCAAAAAATGTGTTAAAAAAGAAGAGAGAAAGTGACAAACAAAGCGAGAGTGAGAAAGACGGAAAGGGATATCGAACTTGCGAAATAACTAAAGATAGAGGAAATACAGGGGGAAAGCGGAAGGGTGAAGGAGAAAGAGTGAAATGGAAACTATAGATATAAAGTAAAAGATTGAGAGACTGGAAAATAACGGCAGATACTGTATATTTTATCTCTTAGAGGTAGAGAAAAAGAGAGGCAGCAAACGCCATTTAGTATAGCGAGAGTCCAAGTACTATTTCACCTAACTAATGCCCACCATCAGGCCTCACTTATGTCGGATATCTAACATTGATTTAGAATCTTCCCGCTTGCTCTTCTATACATAAAAGTCATTAATTTATTGCTACACTAATCGCGAGCTGGCTTAGAGAATCACTCAAGTATTCATTCAAATCAGGAATTCGCTTTGAGTGGCGCTGCCCTCGCCAGGCGCTAATTCCATACCTGAATACCTGAAGCTTAATCAAGTTAAGCTGTTAATTTATATAACGGTAAAAGCATATTAACAACAGATTTGATGGGGCGCACGAATTTATCGACTTCGCTTTCGTGGCCATAATTTGCACACGCAAACCGCAAATGGAGCGGCTCGAAGATTAGGCCACGCCCCCGTTTCGCAAAGCTGAGCAATTCGATGCACGGGACACGTGCGCCGCCTTAAGCTGCGACTTATCGATTTGCTTAAATTGCGAAACTGAGCCTAAGCCGTGCTTTAATAAAAGCCACGCCCCGTTCTGTGGGCGGGCAGCCATTTTGTACAGCCGAAGAGCTTAAAGCCATATAAGCTGCAAGCAGTGTTGCAAAGTTTCGCGAAAGTTTCATTTTAACTTTGTTACGCAGTTTTCTTGCTCGGTTTGTTGTTTTTTTTTTTTTTATTTATTTGGCTGTTTACTTTTTATGCGATATTAAGAACGCTGTTAACCCCTTGTTGCCGGCATGACTACAACGACCTATTTTAAACTACAGCCAAAGTTTTCCCATGCACACACATGCACACACTTGCACACACACACGCCTCATTGCATGCAAATAAACATTCAATATGTAAGGACACTGCAACATGTCGCAGGATAAAGTTTCTTTCTTTTTTTTTGGCGCGCGTGTGTGTGTGTCTCATGTACTTGGTTCTCCCACTCCCTCGCATTGGTTTCTATCAGCGCATTTTGATTTTGTTCTTGAACGAGTTGCTCAATTGTTTTGGCCATGTTGCAGAGAGCAGTTGCAACTAGTTTACTTTTATTGCATTGTCGTGCGGTTGCAAGTCGCCAAGAAGTATGCTTTTAATTTGCGAAAGTTGCATGTGCGGCAGCAGTTGCCCAAAAACTTCCAAGTGCCACACAGACACTGAGCACGAGAGGGACAGGGCGAAAGAGAGGGGGAGGGGGGGGCTAACTGCAGCTGATTAGAGCTGCTTGCCACACACACCTGACGAATGTATATGTGTGCGTGTGCCACAATTTACAGTTAACAGCTAGTGTGGCCAATTAAAACATGTCTAAAAAGCGCTTATCTGGCCAATTAGTGGCAAATCATTCCGTAGCTTCGACTTGCCACAGTCTCTGGTCCCCCTCTTCCTCCCCTTCTCCTCGCATAAACTGCTAGTTAAATGTGCGCTTATTTTTTGTGCTGTAACTAAAGTTTCGCACGTTTGGCACTCGTAAAAAATTCTGTGGAAACAACAACGGAGGCAGCAGCGACAACTCGTCATAAAAAGCAAATTAAATGGAAAAGATTTGAGACGCGCACGCATCGAGCAATTAGTTTTTGCAGTTTTAAGTTAAACTAATTAAATTTAATTGCGAGCACTTGCCAAAAGCCACTAAAAGTTAAGAAACTTTTTGAAAAAAAGCGAGAGAGTAAATAATATATATATATATATAAAATAAATGTTGTACGGGGCTAAACTGGCTGAGAACTGTGGCAGTGGAAATACCCACGCTGAATGGCAGAGCGCGATATATTCATAGCTAATTAAGACTGCAGCAGTAGTAGTTTAAGTGATGTGATAATATACTTTATGAGACGTACCATACATACATATATATTCTGATTGAAGGTAAATACTTCCTGAATATATTTTACATAAATTGAAAATTTATTGTATTAAGAAATTCAGAAATTATTGGGAGGTTGAGTAGATGATGGATATGCGAAATTATTGAAAGAGCTCTTCCGACGGCCGATGGTATTAGTAATAAATAAAGTTAGTTGGCTGTATCTAGTTTAATGTCTACTATATTCGGTAGAGCCAGAAATATGTAAATTAATCGAGTAAAAACCTACATTAGGTAACTTCTGTAGTAAGTAAAACGATTTAAAGATTTATTTAAGACGCGTAAACTCCCTTGATTTTATATATAACAGCGATAATAAATTTACTCTATTTTTAATTTAAATTCAAAACAAGGTTTTATAGAAAACGCATAAAATAAGCTTTTGCTTAAGTTTACATACAGAATATATTTGCTGTAATTAATTTGCTGTATTCACTGCTAACACAATATAATGTTCATATTTCTGCTATGTATAAAAAAGTTTCTTTCGGTCTAATATTCTCTTGGAGCAAGCGTGGTGTGAACAGAGCAATTAAGTGCTATAATAAAGAATATTTATAATCTACATAAATATTTACCTGAATCATAAATCGCGCTGGGCTGTGCGTGTCTGCAAGAGAGAGAGGGAGAGAGAGAGAGAGGGAGAAGGAAATTAATTTAATTATATGAATTTAGATAGCTTAAAGACTAGTAATAATAGGTTTATTACGAGCGCTATATCATTTGCATAACACACACACACACACTCACAGACACAAATGTTGATGGCTCTTTGTGGCTGCCACAGAACTAGTTGCAAAATGTGAAAAATGTACAATTTCTGCTGCTGCTTTTCCACCTTATTGGCTTTCAAGTGGGCTTAGGTGGAAAAGTTATTCTTTTTATTTGCTGCTACTGCTGCTGTTGGAAGCACTAGGCTTCCTCTTCTTCTTTCCATTGAGGACAGCCGCCGGCGCGGGCAACGAGTCTTCACTGTATCCAAGGCTCGTATAATACCATGTCATGCCATGCAACTGTGGCGCGACCTTCGCCGTGTGTCTGTGTGTGTGTGTCTGTGTGTGTGTGTGTGTGAGAAACTGTGCACCTTGCAGCAGAAAATAGAAAGAGACAGCTAGCCACAGCTAACTATAGTGCCCTAGCCTACGTCTGGCCCCTTGCCTACTTCCGGCTGCACAGAAAGCGAAGCAAGGCGAATTTTTATGCAATTTTCTTTCAGTTTGGTTTTTTTTTTTTTGTTTGCCATGGCAAATGCCAAGGAAAACTGCGACGACAGCGGCTTAAAATTTAAATCGCTCCGCAAAATCGAAATTGAAAAAAGAAGAAGCAGCAGAAAAACTGTCGGACAAGTCACACGGCCCATTTACTTGAAAAGCAAATCAGTATATTAGAAACAGCCTATCGAATCGATAGGCAACAATTTGCATAATGAAATTTTTCAATATAAAATTAATACGAGAATTTACTTAGAGATTCCGAACTGTAAAAGCTCCTATGATTTATTCATTGCTGATTGATATACATACATATCTGCATGGTTAACTGTGTAATTGAATAATTCAATTAATATTATTTGCCCATATGTTGATGTTGTATATAAATTTATTTATAGTCATATATTAATTCTTTCATATATATGAGTATATAATATATTATTATGTAGTTTTACTATATAGTTTGTGTAGTTTTATATAGTCAAATTATTCTTTAAATATCAGTAGTAATTTTATATTGTTGGGACTGTTGGGACTGAAGCGAATTTGTATGCCAGAGAAATGTTAATAAACCACTTTCTCGCATATTTTATTAAATTTATTCTGCCAAAATATTTTATGAAATATTCAGTTGGGAAACGTCTTTATGCAATTTCTATTTTTGTTTCTAAAATTCTCAATTTAGTGTAATTGATTGCCTTCAATAAAAAACGAAAGGCAATGGAATTTTTCTCATTGAACGGCGCTCGAGGACTTTGTAGGAATATAATGAAATTGGCAGCATGCTGCATGCAGCGTTGCAGCCACCTTGTCGGCATCGTTCGGCATCGCCGGCAATTGATGTTGCAACACTTTTGGTATTTGGGGACTGCCACCAAATTGATGGCAGCATCTGCGGGCCGTGTCAATTTTGGTGCATTTTGTTGCTTGATTTGCGCGCGTGGCGCGAATTTTGCATAACAATTGCGAATAGGGCGGCGGCATGGGCGGGGCGCTGCATTGGGGCACAATTGATTTAAATGTTTGCGCACATGTTTTCCAGCCAGCAGCATGCAACAAAAAGAAATCGAAGTGGGCGAGAGCGAACGCAAAAGCGCAGAAATTGCAACAAACGAAAAGAATTCACGTAATAATATGCAAAGTGCGGGGCAGGCGGACGGGCAGGAGGCAGCCATGTGTAACGAGTGGGTGGCCAGGGGACTAGTCGAGGGGGCGTGGCGGCTGCTTGCAATTGTCGCAGCATGTCGCGCCGAGCTGGGCGTTCGCGTCAACAACATTTTTCCAACTCAATTACCATCCAGCTGCGACGTGTGCAACGTGCAACGTGCCACGTAAAAAGCAAATCTCAAGCGGCTACAGGAGCTGCTGCTGCTGCAAATAAACTCAAATATTGACAGGCAGCATTAGGGTGACTTGGAGGGAGGGAGGGGGAGAGGGCTTATAGGGCTTAACTTTTGGCTGTCTGCTTTAAGCCGTAGCCAAGGAGTTAAAGTCCCTTCAAGCTCTGCGGCCGAAGGCCTTGTGGCACGTGCAATGTGGCAGCTGTTGCAGCTATTTATATTTGCCTGCCACAAACAGACAGACGGCATGACAGCCACACACACCTGCACACACACTAATAAATAAACACGGCAACTGTCAGTCAGCTGAGATGAGCCCTTGCCTTCAGCTGCAAACTTCTGTCAGTGGCTAATCACTCATATAAATAAACCCTAGCTGAGAATGCTCTGCAAACGCCTGTGACTGAGAGTGTGTGTGTGTGTGTTGTATATGTGTGTGGCTTTCTGCAGGTGCCTGCCAACAATGCGGCGCTCATTTGTTGTTGTTGTTGTTGCTGCTGCTGCTCCTTGCTGCATGTTTGGCATATGTAAATTATGCCAGTGCCAAGTCAGCCACTTAACTCACAACCAGTCGCCTCTCCCCTCCTGCCTGCGCCCGCCTGTCGTGTGCCCACTTTATGCCCTCTGTCAGTCATTCAGTCAGCTTGAAAATTTGCCGCTCACCCATCAACGTCAGCGCACAGGCAGCTGCAGCTCCTGCTGATTGCAAAAGTCAACTTTTTGGCTCCATGCTGTCTCCAGCTCTTTACCTCTCACACGTCCTTCTCTATATTCCTGCATCTCTCTCTATCTTTTTTGCACACTTGTGTCATCTCCCTCTCGTTTTTTCGGGCATTGAGTGTTTGTACTTTGCATACCCTACAGACATACAGCAGGGTAAGCTTAAGATCTATTCATTTTTATTCTACTCCTTATTTATTATTTTAGGGATATTTATTATACTTATTATTATATAAGAATATTATTTTCATATTTATAATTATTTTTATTATATTATAAATATTTATTATTATTTTATTTATCATATTCAAAAGTGCATTTCTATAGTTTTATTTTTTTATTTTTACATGGTATTTCATAGTCAGTCAGGTCAACACTTTATGTGCAGATTGTTTGTATTTGCTGTCGTTATTGTTGTTGTTGTTGCTTCTTGCTGTTGCTGCACTCGAGTGAGCAAATACTTTATTAAAACTCTGTTTGGGCGCCGCCAAGCAAAATGTAAATCATTCATGTGCCACTACAACAACAACAATAACAGCTGTTGTGTGTGTGGGCGTGGCTAATGAGCAGCTCTTGTGCACTTGTTTTAATTTTGGTTTACGGCTCAAGTGTTTGGCTTGAGCCGTAAGTTAAATATATGCCAGCTAAAGCAAACACACGTTACGTATACGCAATGTTTGCCAAGGCAACAGCAGGCGTAGACGATGATGCTGCAGCGGCAAAGACGAAGACGTGGATCTCAGCTCGGTAATTGATATGAGAGCTAATAGTATTACACAGCATATGTAGCCGGATGTTTGTGAAGGCCACTCGAGTGGCTATCAGCTAGCTCAGCAAATTGCTTGCATTGCCGAAGGACATGAAAGGACAATCGAACTGGACGAACAGACGCCGAGCTATGCCAAGGGCCGACTTGAGTCTAACCCTTTTTGCCGGCTTTGATGTGCTCGACACCTTGACAAAAGCCGTCCAAAAAATGTCGAGTGTCAAAAGCAGCTGCCGTCTCATGCCAGGCACCCTCCCGCCCCCCCATCGACAGCCATAAAATGTGATACTCGCGCCTGGGACGGTGCTATAAAAAGCTTCGAATCACGTCATTCGAATGTCAACATTTATGTATTTCCTCCAATTTTTGCTCTTCTTCTTTTTTTTTTTTTATACCCTGAACCCATTTTCAATGGGAAATCAGGGTATAATAGTTTTGTTGAAATGTATGTAACAGGCAGAAGGAGGCGTGGCAGACCCCACAAAGTATATATATTCTTGATCAGGGCGACGAGCTGAGTTGATTTGGCCCTGTCCGTCTGTCTGTCCGGCTGTCCGTCTGTCCGTCCGTCCGTCTGTCCGTCTGTCCGTCTGTCCGTATGTATGAACGCGTCGATTTCAGAAGATATAAGAGCTAGAGACTTCAAATTTTTCATTAAAAATCGATAACTCATCCCGATCTTTTTTTATCGATAAAAAACCTTATCGAAAACCAGTTATAAAATTATATCTTCTACACCTTTATTGCTAGAGTCTCCAAATTTTTTAGGTATGCCTATATGCAATTTATACAATTTCGGTTTTTGTTAAAATTTACCCCCCACCCTGAAATTCACCCCCCTCACCCTCACTTTTGTAAAAGCTTATTTCAAATACTAGAGACTTGTGCTTTGGCAATTACATGCATATCCATGTCATAATCATAATCTGAAAGTTTCATGAAGATCGTACGTCCACAAAAAAGTTATTAAACAATTAAGTTCTCATAGTAAGCGCTCACTGCCGCCCATGCGTGTTTATGCGTGGTTGCTTGTGTGTGTATGTGTGTGTGTATATGTGTGTGTGTATGCGTGTGTGTGTATGTATGCCTGTGTGTGCGTACGTGCGTGTGTGTGTGTGTGTGTGCGTGTTTCTGGTGTAAGCTGAAAGTCGCGAAAAAGTATTGAAATATCTATTGCTCCAAGGGTTCAGGGGATCTCGTAGTCGAGCAGTCTCGACTAGAGCTTTCTTACTTGTTTTTATATATTTTTTTGGAATCATTCACTTGACTTGGGCGTCAGTCCATTCAAAGTTCGACACATGTTAGGGCTGTGGTAGAGCGTGCTTGACTAGCAGTTACCCTGTGTAAGCTACAGTTAACTTTTGTTCATTCCCTATTGAAGCATATTGTATTTTAAAACTCTTTTTTTTTTTTTTTTTAATTATTTTTACAATATTTTCTTGAGTACAGCTAGAGCTCTGGTCTGTTATATTAAGATAATATATAATATTAAGGAGATTTTTCTGATTCTGCTTTAGCTAGATTTTGAGTTGGTTGGGATGATATTGATGAACAAATCAATATGTAGGAAAGAAGAAATAGATTCCGCTCTAGTTCGAACAGCTGCTGTATCCCAACGAACTCATATATAATATAATATTTCTGAACAAATCAATAAATAAGATATTTCTAGTTTCATTAACAATTCTTCAATAACTAATAACAAAAAATATGATAGCCTTCTGAGTCTAATTTAGCTCGCACAGAATCCTATATTGATCAATAAATACACGAGATATTTCCAGATATCAATAGGAAAATTCAGTCAAATAGGATTTAGTGCCATTTCATACAAATTGTGCTATTAACTAATTATTTTTCTGAACTAATCCTGCATTATGATCTGGATCATTATTCAACTGTAGCCTCAACAAACTGTTTCCTTTCAGCAAGCACTTCTACATATTCAATAGACTCCACTTGCATGTTAACTATTTACAGGTCATTTAAATACAGACAAAAGACTTTTTAGCTATTCATATTGCCTGACTTGCCCGCTCTCGCTGTCTGTCCGTCCGTTTCTCTGTGTCCGTGTCTGCCTGATTGTTCCGTCTAATTTGTGAGTGCCTGTATCTCTTTCGTAGCTCCATTGCTATCGACTTGTCTATCTGACTCGCCTGTCTGTCGCGCCACGCCCCGACCGGCGCCCGCCCTCGCCTTGCTATGCTATGCCTTGCAGTCATGTGTCAAACTCTTGATGTCAACTTCTGACATAATATTGACAGCTAAACAAATCCAATTATGCCCAACTCCTGCAGCACACACGAAGCGGTTCAAGTGTGAGAGACTCTCGTAGCTTTTTGGGCTTCTAACTTTCGGAATATGCTAAATGTTGACCATGTTTGCTTTAGCAATGTGTGTGGTTGTTTGTGTGTGTGTGTGTGTGTGCGCATGTGAGTGTGTGTGTGCGTGCGCTCAAGCGCTTTAAACGTTTTCCCAGTGCTGACCAGTGGAGCAACTGCTACGATATTTCAATATTCCGATAGGCTGCCTGCTGCCTGCTGATTGTTGTTGTTCTTGTTCCTCCACAGATGTTGCTGCCGTTGCTGTTGTTGCTTTTGCTGTTGTGGCGCCAGTAAATTGCGTAGGTGTGCAATTGAATTATTGCAGTCAATGCACACATTCACACTGCCCTGCCCCCTCTCCCTGGCATTCAGCTTCTCCTGGTCAGCCGCCGTCGCTTGCTATCATAAATATGAAATTTTGAGCCTACGCAGTAATGCAGGCGGCACAGCCTGCATATTATCCACAGCTATTCCTTCCCCTTTCACACCCCTTTCTCTTTGCCTACTGCATACTGCCTGCTGCCTGCTGTGCTGGCCAAACTCTCAGGGACTGTGCCAACAACCGTTTTACGGTTTATTTTTGGGGCATTGAATGCAAATATTGGCATAAATTTCGGCTGTTGTGGTTGGCAGCAAGTCTCTTCTTCTGCCTCGCTCTCTCTCTCTCTCTCTCTTTCGCTCACTGCGTATGTGTCGCACAGCATCCGATTCAGCTTGAGTATAGCCAAATTTCATTTGGCTTTTGCCACAAACACACACACTCACACACACACGCACACAAACACACACACAGATACACACTTCTGCCTGACTGCATTGTTTGCCCTCGCACAGAATGTAGTTGGATTTCGGATTTTGGATTTCAGATTCTGAATTTGGCAATTGGAAAGTTGGTTGTGCCGCTCGTTTCGGCCAGCAAATCGCATTTTGTGTTAACAAATTTGTTCGATAAAGGTCAAAATGTGCTTGGAATTGCTAAAGGAATTTTCAAACTAAAATTCTAGAAAATTGTAAGCTGGCAAATTGAATGGGAGGAGTCCTTGGAAATCAGTGCATTTATGCTTGACAAAGTGAACAGCAGTAAAAGCCTTCAGCATCTGAAAAGTAGTACCATAAAATCCGTCGCTTCTCTCTATAGCCCAGGCTCAGATATATTCTGTAGATATTTTTGCAGGCATATCTTAAAGCTGCACGCTCATAAAAACTTTGGCTGTTAAAAGGCTGGGCGAATCTAAAGATTTCAATAGCCAAGTCGGCCAATAATTATAAGAATGTTTAACTTTAGCTTGCTGGCCAACTGTCACTTGGCCCCGCCTCCTGCTGGCCGACGGCCTGCCCACGTGGCTGCTGATTTATGTGTTTGTTTTTGGTTTTTGGCCGCCTGCGGCACATTTATCAGCGCAACAACAACGATAACAACAACAGCAGCAGCAGGAGCAGCAACAACGGCAAGCAAAACAAACAACGGGCCCAACAAATGACAGATCAGCCTCAGCAGCGGGCCCAGCGACCAAGTCCTTGGCGAGTTTATTTAGGCAGCCGCAACTATTTGAATTCCTTTGCGAAAAGCACTCAAGAAGAGTTCGCAGCCAATTGGAATTCAATACGCTTGGCATTTCCAAGCGTTTCGGTTCAAAGTTCAATTAAGTGAACATTTGTGCTCAGGGGTAGCGAGAGTGTGAGGAGCATTCATTGTTAAGCCTTTGATTGCTATTTAGGGCAAACATATAAATTTGCACAGCTAGAACATGGCTGCAGGCAACGCCCAGCTCGAAATTCGAAACGCCTCCTGCCAAAAAGTGATGGCAGTTGCCTACTTCTTCTTCTCCTGCTGCTGCTGCCCCTGCTGCTGCTCCTGCTGCTACCCCTAACCCAAATCAATAAATTAAGCGCGCCTTTAAATATATTTCTCTGTCTGTTTAGCCATCTCTCTCTGTATCTCTCTCTCTCTCTCTCTCTCAAATTTTGGTTGTGCCGTAAATCGTTTGCACGGGAAATTGGCAAAAACATCAAAAAACTTTTCTTGGCCCGCAAAACTATGCTACGGCGAATGTTTGGCTGCTGCCTAAAACTATGCTAATTTCCGAGTATTTTTGTGTTCTGTTTGCCTGAATGTTGTCCTTGCCCGTTACACATGTCCCACGGTCCTAAGTAAACCAATTTGTTATTTGTCTTTGTGTGTGTGTGTGTGTGTGTGTGCGAGCCTCGAAAATTCTATTAAAATGGCATAAATTACAAACTCGATTTACAGCTGTAGCGGCGCGACTCTCGGGGCGGATGGGAGGTGACAACGCACTTAAATACATTTTAATTAGCTGCCAAGGCAATTGGCAGGACACTCACTCGCCCACACTCATTCACCCACATTCATTCACCCACACTCATTCATCCACACAGACAGCCAGCTCAATGGCGCTTTTGATTTTCGCCTCAAAGTGTGCTACAGTCTCGACATTTTCGTTGCCTTTGCTTTCCGCTGTTCCTTCATTTTCCGCTTTTCATTTGCACAAAAGCTACTTAGACACGATTTTGCCCCGGTCCAGCAACTACAACAACTACAGCAACAACAACAATGGTCATTGGTTTTGGTTCATGGCAAAATGATGAAAGGCATTTGGCTCTGATGTTTAGTTGCAAAACAATTAAGCTGAAAGCAAAGCTGTGTAGTCAAGTGTGTGTGGGTGTATGTATGTGTGTGTGTGTGTGTGTGTGTAGGTGTGTGTGTAAAGTGAAATGAAATGAGATGAAATGAAATGAAATCGCTCTGAAGAAGATCAAGTCAAAATGATTCACAATAGACGACTGCTGAATACACTTTCCCAATTCTTCCGTTTGCTATATATAATAATATCATTCGAATATATTAATATGTTAACAACATAGAGTATAAGCCAAAAAATATTAAAAATTAAACTTTTGCAAAAATAAATTCCTTGAAATATTTACAGATATTTATGCTTTTGTAATTTTCTAGAAACACCTTATTATTGAAATATTTTGAATAAATTTTGATTTGATTTAATCAAGTGTAGAGGAATGCAAATGCTTGGCAGAAATTCTGTAAATTTAGCTGGCGTAATACAATATACCTAAAAAAAGGCAAAGTAGCTGCATAATAATAAGCTGGATAAGTATTCAAATAATTTTTATTTTTAGCCAAAAGATTTTAGTTCAATTGCTTTAGCTTAAAAGCCAAAAGCCCAGAGTTTGTAATTTAAATTATATTCAGTCTATTACTCATCAAGCATTCGGTTTTTATTGAATTGCGAATTTTTTATATATTGGTATAATTTATATATTTTATACATTACACTTTGCTATTAACAAATATGCAAATCATATGATATATACCATACAGGCGTACAAGAATATGTATGACAGACAGACAGATGTGCTAGGAGGACTCAATGAAGCAGCTGAAAGGAATCTTCCATTGAATAGAATGACTTAGGGGAGTTGTTAGAGCTTCCTTTTCGAAGCATTGAAAATATATAGAGCCTAATACATGAGTAGATAGTGTATACAGTAACTCCCCTAACTCATTCTATAATAGTATCTACTATACATCTATATAGGATATAGTAATTAATAATAAATCAAAGTTGGTATATTTCATGGACTTAGCTATTTAATTAGTTTGAATCGGAATACGAGCCAAGTACTCTGTATATCCAAAGCTGTCACATAGCTTCCCACTAGTTGAATATGCCCTCTAACCTACTTGCTGTTTTTCCCGATAGGGTATGGATGGCGTAAATGTTCCGTCATTGACAAATGTGAAGTGCGTTGGAGCGATGTTTCGACATTAGCATTAATAGTGTGGCATTAATTTCAAGGCGCAATATAGAAGTACACATTTCTATGTATATATATGGCATTTCCATGTGTATTTAGAGGGACGCAATTATAACTACAGACCGCCGTCAATGTGTGTGCGTGTGCGTGCGTGCTGGTGTGTGTGTGTGTGTGCGGATTGGCTTTAAAGAGCACATAAACACATTACCACATTACGTATACAACGGGGCTGCCAGGCCCCAGGCTCCATTAAATCCACTTGACAACGACTTGAGGTAATGTTTGCATATGCCAGGATCCTAGCTACGCTCTGTGCCACGCCCCGCCCACCCTGCGTCCCCTCACACAGTTTGCATAAATAATTCATTTGAAAGGACGCTTTTAGGTTCGCAAAACTGTTGTAGACAAAACTGCTTAAATATGCATAATTACCTGAGACATCTGGGGCTGCTGCCACGCCCCCGCTCTAAAGCGAAAAAGAGAGATAGAGCGAGAGTAGCCAAGTTTTCTGAAGTCTCAAGTCAAGTCAAGTCTGACGAGCTCGTGCCGGAAGTGTGTGCTAGAGAACGCATGCCGTCTTTCGTCCTTCGTCCTTCATCCTGCATCCTGCGTGCCGTGTCCCGTGTCCCGTGTCCCCTCTCCTTTGCCCCGGGCACTTGGAATACATTTTTGGCCTCTGCAAAAGCAAACAAGCATCAACAACAGTTAGAGTCAAGCGGGAAAACGAGCGGATTTTCCTTCGCCGCAATTTACACAATTTCCACAATTGCCACAAAATTGCCGCACATTAAAATAATAAAAATTGTTTACAACATATTTAACTAATTGGGCCGTACTCTCGTTCGCTCGTTCGGGGCCAATCAAAATCTGTTCAAATAGTCAAAGAGTCAACAGCAAAAAATGTCAAAAAATATTTAAAAATATTGCCAGGTGCTGGCACGCAACCTTGAGCCGAGGCGTGGTAGAGCTGGTGGCCAGCCCCGCCCTCGCACTCGCCCTCGTCAGCACGTTCCACATTCCGCTTCCGTTCGGCCATAAATATAATTACAATAATAAAGGAAATATTTACAACAATTGTAAATATCTCGACTCGACTCAACTGCGGCTTTCAACACGCACGGCCCCAAATTAATAAACTCCAATTGGCAACGCCTCAAACCCTCTAGCCTCTAGCCACCCTCCCCCTCCTCCGCCTCCTGCAGGACTAACGGCCTGATTGCCGGCGCCAGCGCTTCCTGATGAGCGTGTGAGCTCATAAAGATTTCCTGGCCCTCAGGGCTGCAGCCTGTGCGTGCGGCAAGTGACACAGAGCAGGCGAATTAATCGCAGGCTTGACTTGCTAATACCCTATACTATCTATAAACTGCAAGCTAACCTTGATTCCATACACACTCTCGGGCAACTAAAGATATTCAGTTGCGTTCAATAAAGAGATTTTATTCTTTCATTTAGAATTTTCGAATTAAGTCAAGACTAAAGACTTGAGCAGTTCACTTTTAATGAGATTAGACCATCAATACTCAATAGTCGATATACATTTAATCGGTTTGCAGGGTATCTGAGCGTAAGGCGTGGCGCTTAGTGACACTTGCCCGCCCTTCGACCCCCTCCACGGGAGCTACTTAATAGAACTTTTACGTTTAACTGTAGCTCGCAGTCGGACTCGCTGGCTGCTATCTGATTACAGTCGCACGCCATAATGTCATCATAAATTGTAGTTAGCCGGGTTAAGGACCAGGCTCAGACAGTAGCTCTGATGGCCGGCACTGTATGCCAGCCAGTTGAGCCACTGTGGCTTTGTGCCAGGTTGAAAAGCGTGGCGCATAGAGAATTGTGTTTAACATGCGGCACTTGAGCGAAATGAAATTTATGATTAAACCAAAGCCCTTGCCCCCTGGACACGCCACGTAGTCAAAGGTAAGCGCTCCAGCTCCAGCTCCAGCTCTGGCTCTAGCTCTCGCTATAACTGTCCAACTGTGCTCAGGGCCGTATGCTAAAGAGATCTGTGTGTGTGTGTGTGTGTGCTGGAGGGTGGTAGCTAGGGGGCAGCGGGGCATATGCCATGGAGCGTGGAGCATGGGCACTCGCACAATGGCGGCCGTTTACCGCAGGCCAAAATGCCACACTTAAGTGAATTACAAAAGCAGCTTGTCGAGCACTGGCAGAGGGCAGCGGGTAGAGGGCAGAGGGCAGGCGAGGCCAGCGCGGGGCAGTCAGCGTGTGGTATGCGGCACGCGGGCTGAAAGTCAGCCAGTCAACGCGTTGACAGCCACAACAAGCGGCTTAATCGCATTAGAGCCCCTCGCCAGCCCCAGCCACAGCCACAGCCCCAGCCCCAGCCCCTGCGACGCAGGAGCCAGAGCCTGGGCCAGGCCCTTGAAGTGCCGACGGACGAGCAGCCGAGCGACCGGCAACGATATTCCAAGAGAGCCAAGTGCGGCAAACTGATTGTGTGGCGCCACACAGCGCATAGAGTCACTAGTGGGCGTGGCATCTTACACCCCCTCAGCCACCCACTGGGCTAGCAGAGGCGCTAAGCTGCGCATTGTGCGCGCCAACAACAGCGACAACGCCAACGCCAGCGCCACTATTTATATAAAGAAAAGCCAGTCGAGCAGCTCCTGTGGGGACAGACAGCGGCAGGGGCAGGGGCAGCGGCAGGAGCTGGGGACCAGCCATGGAAACTACAGCAGGACGTGGCCGTGGTGCCAGGTCGCCTGGGCAATTGCTCTGCCACACAAAAGTTCACAGGCGGCAGGCAAAAATATATGAATAAAAATAAAAAACACCAAAAAAGTGGCAAGAAATGTTTGTGGAGTTTGCTCAACTATGAGTTACCCTTTCTTCATAAAATTGCAGTTGCTTATAAGATATATTTATATTTACATTACTCTCATAAACATTTCACATAATTAACTTAAGCTGTACGATTTATGTATACCTTGTTTAAATGTTAAGGATTAGCTCAATTTACATTGAAGTATAATATAGTAAACCACTTTTACAGCACTATGAAATAATTTTTTCCATGATTTTGCTTTTGTCTTTTCTATAAGCATTGCCAAGTCAACTATATGCTCCCTTTTAAATTACGAGGTATACACAAAAAAAGGAATTTTCATATTGCACACAAAAAATGTAATTTTTCAACAAAAAAGTGAAAAAAAAAACACAATTAATCTACGACAGAGCGCGTTTCAGGCTCAAAGGACTCAAAGAAGGACATGCAAACATTCACAGTCGCAGTCACAGTCACAGTCACAATCACAGTCAGATTCGCAGTCACAGTCGCAGAGTCTGGCAACGCTGGCAGCTGCGTTGGAGAGAGCACAGAGTGCGCTTATACCCTGCTTCCTGTCCAGCAAATCCAATAACTTATCTTGATTTTATGGTTATTCCAACAAAGGCCGGAAGTTGTAGGTGCAGCAAAGACGACAGCGCACCCAAAAAAGGCAACACGAACGCAGGCAGGAGCTTGTCCACAGGGTTAGGGGGGGGGCTGAGCATTTAAGTTTGCTTGTCTGCTGTCCGTTACAATTCAATGTGTGTGTGAGTGTGCGTGGGTGTATGTGTGTATGCAATTGACATATGGTTTCTTCAGAGTATTCGTTTGTCTATTCCCACCCTACCGCTGTCGCTCCCCTCTGTCTATCTCTGTCTCTCTCACACTCCACCACTCTCTGTGCTTTGTAAATTTTGCATGAAATATTTTATTTGAAATGTCCTACATAGTATTGCAGAGTCCTGCCACTTGTTTCTATTCCCACAGTTGCTGCAGCTGATGGGCATTTATTGATGCAGCCCAACCCTCGCCTCCTGCCCCGGCGAGCAGAAGTCAAGCAGTTTGTAAGCTGACATTATCAAGATTAATTGAGGCTTCCTATATATTGTAGTATTTGAATATATAGAAATGGTATTCATGCGACAGTTACAAGGCACTGGGCCAGGTGTTTCCGTGTGCATTTGCATTTGACATTTATGAGCCGCATAAATCTTGCGACAACATCGGCTTTTCGACTAATTGATTAACAAATTGCACACAACATCGCAGCTTCTGCTCGCTTGCCGACTGTGCGAGAGCTTTACAGCTTGTAGAAGTAAGACAAAAAATTTCAATAAATATTTAAATTTAATAATCAAATTATGTTGCAGCAATTACGAGAAAAGTAAATGAAAAACTGCGGGGAGTGTGAGCGCGCGAGCGCCCCAAGCACAGCCGAGAAAAATCAAATTGAGCAAAGCTGCTCCTGCTGTTCCTGCTACCCCTGCTGCTGGGGTACGAAAAGTTTTTGCCAGATTGGCATGCTGGAAATTTTTAGACGCACCCGCAGGAGAACAGCTGCCAAGTGCAGGGCAGAAAAAATAGCCGAGGAGCAGATGAAAAGTAAAAGGCGAAGCTAGATAGAAAGTGTGGCAGAAGGCAAAAGGCAGAAGGCAGAAGGCGGAAGGCAGATGGCACAGACAATGATAATGATATTTTCCTTATTCCAGCAGGAGGGATGCTCCAAATTTATGCGCCAATGCTTTTTCTGCTTTTCGACCATATTACATATTCATTAAATTGCAGCGAGCGGAGGCTGCCTGCCAATCTCGGTTGAAACGCTCTCAGTAGGCAGCTCAACTCAAGCATCAATGGCAATGCCATCTCTCCTTCCCTACCCCTCTCTCTCTATATCTCAGCTGGTATCTAGTTTCATCTAATTGGTAATCATCGCGGCGCACAGCATCCGCAGCGGCATTAAGAAATCACTGAAATAATGTTGAAATTGAGCTCAAAACTCGTTTGTTCCAAACTGTAGCGAGCTGTGTCGAAACTGAGACAATGACGCAATTTGATATTCGCTCATTGCACAAATATATATAAGCATATATACTTGTATAAGTTATTTAGATATTGCATATTATACAATATATTGTTTAAGAGTCTCTGAGGCAATGACATCAGTGAATTGCATCATGCGCAGAAAATTTGGAGACATTAGAATATCGAACATGGATTCAAAAGCTTCTCATGAAAATCAACAAATAATGATGATGCTACTTTTGTTTGTCTTTGCTTAAGTTAATATTTATATGAGCTTGCAGCTTAAAACTTTAGATGAGCCGATTTACAAATAAAGTAATTTTAATTAGACCCGGAGAAAGGAACGAGTGAAACTCATTCAAAATGAAAAGTGAAGTTAGACAGTTGAAATAATAAGATATAAAGTCTATTTAGGAGACTCTAATAAAAATCATAAAACATCTGTAAAAACACACGGAAAATAAATAAATTCAAATAATCTCTAATTAATATTGAAGTAAAGTCAAAATATCTAATTATTTGTTTTTCTATCAAATTATTATAATAACTCTATTTAGTTAATTTATGTTTAAATAATTTGCTATCTAGCTATTTATCCTCTATAATAATTGACATAGAGAATAAACACATAAATAAATCATTATTTTTGCATAATAAAACTGTGCTGCTCACTCGTGGCATTTAATCCTTCTCAGATGCCGTCATAGATTTACTAAAATAACTAAATAAACCAACAAAGCCAACTAGATAATAACAACTCTTTACATCTAGCTTTTTCACATTTAATCAAAAAGAACGGAAGCCAATAAATAAATAAATAAATAATAAATAACGCGAAATTAAATTGCCCTAATTGTATTTTTTATTCGGTG